CAGACCATCCTAACACAACCCGAAGACCCGAATTTCGGGTTGGGGGGGGTACAGGTTCCATGTGTGTTTTTTGAATGTTCCCCGACCCCCCCCCCACTGGAAATGGAGGGCAAATCGGGGCCTTCGGGATAGTTTTGGGTGGCTTGGCGGGTGGTGCACCAGGCGCACGAAGAGCTTGGCCGCCCCGATGCAAAAACACGCAGCCCGTGGCGTGTTGACACGGAGCTCAACACGTACACTGAAACCGCTGGTCTGGCGCGATACGTTCGCCAGAGCGTGGGCCAACGCGTGGAGCCGACACGCAGCGCGCTCAGGACGGACATTTTGAGAGGGCACGTGTTGCGTTTCAAGACAGGCGTACCAGAGCAGCTAAGACACGGGATAATAAGCTACGATGTTCGACGGGAAAATGAACCGATCCGAAACGAATCCCGGGACACCCCCCCCAGACAACCCAGACAACCCATGCTGAATCAATGACGACAAGGCGACCTACCCTAGACAACCCCTTGGACAACCCAGCAGGGATCCAGACAATTTCTCTGGACAACCCCCCTTGGATAAGCATCCCCTGGATGTTTCTTCCAGAAGGTATAATATGTGGCACCCACATTTGGGGAGGTCCTCGCAGACTTCTTGGGTCGGCCAGGGCTGCTCTTCCCTGGCGCGCGGAGCGCGCAAGGGGAGGCGCCAGTCTCTGGCGCCTCCCTGGTGGCACCTCTGGCGGCGCCTCTGGCGGCCAGAGGCGCCGCCATGGCGGTCCAGCGCCAACCTAAGGAATCCGCGCGGACATCCAGCAGTTCATGTCTTTGCTTGGTGCGTTTTCGAAGTCGGGTGACATAGGGGTGCGTGCTGTACGCTGTGCGTTGCGTGCTTGAATTATGCGATGTAGGTGCTGTGTGTGGCGTGCTGAGTGATTGAGTCCAGTCGAGAGCTATCTTGACAGCTTCCTGGGCCGATGTAAGGGTCCCTGCGGACCTTCTGGGGAGCGTTGGGATATCTTGGATCACGTCCCAGGGGTTATTGAACCGCCCCCCCCCCTCCCCGAACACGATCCAAGATAGACCAGCGCTCCGGCTCGGCTCCCCGCAATTTCCGGGGAGCCGAGTCGCCACGCGCAGCGGGGCCGATGCGGCCCAGTAGGGCCCGGTTTGGTGCCCAGGAAGGGCTCAGGGGAGCCCGAACCGAACTGACCGCACCAGACCGAACGACCATACCGAAACCAAACCAGGCCAACCGAACCGGCCCGCCGCCGAACTGGCCCGAACCGACCCGATCCGGACCCTTCCTGGTTCTGCGCGATTCGGAGTCCCCTCCAAAGTCTGCTCGTGAAGAATTTCTCGGGCGAAGCGCCCAAGCAAATGATTCTGCCGAGCGAAAAACCTTGTGCAGCCGCGATTCAGGTGGCGTGAAATTGTGTATTCGCTCCTTACCAACCTCCACAAGAAACCTCCCAACACCTCCTCGTTCCGAGAATGCGCTTCCCGCCATGAGCCCAGGCTTGGCCAGGTGCGTGCGGGCACCATATAGAGATAGGTGCGAACTAATCATGCTAAAGATCGGTCTCATCGAAAAATCCACGCTTCTTGTTCCTCAGAGACGCTTCCCGTCATCCGCAAAGCTTGGTACACTGTGCGATCCTGCACCATGTAGTCTTAGGTCGGGCTTGTCCCCCCTACAGGCAGATTTTGGACGATTTGTGTGTGTTCCATTTGTTATAAAAAAAGAAACCTGACACATATTCCCCGAATCCTAAAAATACTCAACAAATCGTCCCCATTATATGTTTGGACTATTTTTGACTATTCCTCCTGTAGAGGGACACGCCCGACTTACACGTAATATTTACGTTCTTGATCAGTAATGTCGAAGTTCGACCTTCGAGCAACAGACCTCGCCTCTCGCTCCTCGAAGGCACTTCCCAGCAACACACTCTTCAGAACAAATGTTCACGCTGGAGGCGCTTCCCATCACACCGGTGAGCGTTTGATATTCATTATTTTGCCGATCGGCGCGGGCCCTCGCACCCCCCACCCCCTCCACCCCCTCCATGGAATAGATCTTGGCTGTTTTTTGGCGCCTGTTTCGAGCGGGTGGGGTCTCCCCCAGAGGCCGCACTCTTCCAAACAGTCGCACTAAGAAGAGGTCCAAAGCCAGACCCCCCCCTCTCCCGCCCCCTTTCCGCCCAATGTCGAACCTCCGAATAAAAAACGCTCACCAGCCGAAATCGCCTTGCAGGTGAATGCGACGTTTCTTGTCTGCTTGGCAACTCTGGTCGGAGTGCGTGGGAGGTGGTTGGGGCGGCTCGGGCGGGAAGGGTCCCAGGAAGGCGGTGTACTCTGTCGGCGCCAATGCACGCGCTTGAAGCTGTAGGCCAGACCGAACACATGGAGCCGAAGGCTAGGGGTTAAAGTGAAGGGGTGCTCTACGGCCTGTCTTCAGCTGACTATTGATCCTGGGCCACAGCGTGTGCTCGTCCCGATTTACAATCTTAGGAGACATGGCGGCCTGCCACGATCCTGCAATCGAATCGCATAGATCGTGGATAGTTCAGAATCCACCAGTGCGCCCTCTCGCACAATCAGGCGCGGTAGAATGCCAAGTGCTGTCTGATTGGGATGTGCAAGTCCTTTGAGGGGCTCATTCCCTCTCGGCACGCTTCCTTCCGTACGTCTGCCCCCATTCCCGAAGCCCCTGGTCGGCCCGATACCTCGCCGGGGCTCTCCAAAGCTCTCCGAAGCTTCCTAGACGGCCCAGGATGGTCACCAAGGCCGCACATATGGCCCAGCATTGCGTTAAGACGCACGCAAAATCCCCTACGGAGCGCCCAACGAGTCCCAAGAAGTCTCCAGCAGACCCAGAGACACACGCTCTTCAGGAGGCCCTCGACAAGCCCAAAAGCTCAGTGTTCCATCGCGGTCCACGCTGTCGGGTTGTTTAATGTTTTGGTGTTCCACGCTGCCCGGTCGAAGATTGGTCCAACTGCTGTATTCGAGTGGCCAATGAAGCCCACCGAGGGCTCCAAGAGGGCCCTTTGTTGGCCCAGGACGGCCCCCGAGGAGGCTCCAAGCTGGGCCAGGAGTGCCACCAGACGGCGTAATTGGGCACTTGGATGGCCCAAGAAGGCCCCAAAGACAGCCCCACGACGTTCCCAAGAGACCCCCCAAACGGCCAAGAGGGCCCCAAGACGGTCCCAGCCCGGAGAGGTCTCCACGACGGCCAAAATGGCCCCAAGACAGCCGAAGAGGGCGCCGAAACCGCCTAAGAGGGCCCGAAGGACCAGAGAGTCCCAAGAGACGCCCAAGACTGCCCCGCAGGACTCTGAGATAGCCCCAGGACTGCCCGAATAAGCCCCATGAGAGCTCGCCAACACAGAAGACGACCCGGTGTCATAGACGACGGCCCTCCGGGAGAGGCTCGCCAAGCGGAGCGCTTCGCTGGCACTGCGGCGGCTATGCCGCGGGCGCCTGGCTGCCCTGCCCTTCAGACCCCCGACGACGCGGCTCTTGCACCTGTCGCCGCGGCGTTTGTTGGCGGCGCGCACAAGGGGGTGGGGGGAGGGGGGAGGGCTTCTTCGAAGCAGGCTGCTTCTCAGAAGGCGCCGGCCTTCCATCTACTTCTAAGAAGCCCTCCCCTCTCCCCCCACCCCCCTTTCTCGGCCGTTCGCGCCAGGGCGCCGAGCTCCGCAACATGAAACGCTTCGGCGCGCAAAAAACCGATCATTTTGTCGGGCCCTCAGCACAGCCGTCTCTCGACGGCCCCGGGAAAGAACCCGCAGGCCGCGGACACCCAAACAAACCTCCCGCCGTGCTTGCCTCGCGTCGCAAGAGTGACCGGGTCGTCGGAAGGCGTGGGGCCGGCAGGAAGACGAAGGGACGAACGGGGCGGACGCATCGAAAGACTTGGAGCAGCCGGATGTCTGAGTCCTTCACTGGCATGAGGCCCTCCGCTGGCGAAAACACCCCAAAGCATAAGATCACAGAGGGTACCATTCCCCGGGCTGCACAAGAACGTGCGCCAAGCACGAAGAACACTAGGGTTAGGTCGGGCATGTCCTGCTACAGGCGGATTTGGGAAGGAAAATAGAACATCAAACAAGAATCAATAACATACAAAAGAACACGAAAAATCGTCACCTGACTATTGTATTACTATTATTGAACATTCCTCCTGTAGAGGGACATCCCCGACTTAACACAAGGGTACCCTCCCCGAGCCGTCCTCGATCTTATACTTTGGTCGGGCGGTAAGTGAGCGACGAAAGAAGCTCTTACTTAGAGTGGAGGCCAGTCCGCAAGAAACCTTCCACAAGAAACCCAACCCTGAGACCCCAGGACGCCCATTCATTTTCGGCGTGGGAACGTCACGCTTTCCGTAGCGAAACCATCGAAACCCAAGAAACCCAGGGCACCCTGGATGCAAGCATGATGTTTCTTGGCAGGGGCCTCCACGGTAGGCGCGAGGACACAGCGATGGCTCACGCAGCTCGCGAACGCGGCAGGCCACGTGGACAGGGGGGGCCCTGCGCAATCAGAGGCCTCCTAGATGGGGTCCGGGGATTCGGAGGATCGCGCCGCATCGTCGACGCATTAGCGATGCATCGGCGATGCGGCGCGATCCTCCTTCCCCATCTACTCCAGCCCGATCTAAGAGGCCTAGAGCAATACTTACCCGTTACGAAGGTTATCCATCTAGAGCGCTGACGACCAGGGCGTCTCCGAGCGGGGTCCCCCTTCCCCGCGTAGACTCCTAACACGGAAAGCCATTCGGCCTGGTTAAGCGGGAGAGCTTTCCGGGGTTCTCCCTGATGCAGTGAATAATCTATATATATATATATACACATACAATTCGGGACAATTAATGTACCTTGCACCGGCAGCTGCCGCGCGACTGTCCGCGCGGTCGACCACATTCTTTTGCGCTGCTCACGCGGAGACCAGCGTTGTGGGGGGGGGGCCAAGCGAAATAGGAGATACACAAGAGGACGGCATGCACCCCTCTCACCTCGGCTCAGGTGCCCAGTTTTCGGGCAAGAAATAAGCTCTAAGGTGGTTGGTGTTCTCGCGCAGGTAGTCTAGGAGGTGGTCCTGGATGGCCTTGACGCTCTCTTTGGGTAGATTTGCTCGGATCTGTGCCAGCAGCTCACGGCTGAGTCCCTCCTTGAGGTCCACGGTGCGCAGCGCATCGTCGATGATCTTGCGGACTTCCTCCTGCGACCTCATCTCCACCTTGATCTGGTCGCAGAATTCTGCGAAGCGGTCGTGGAACAGTGCCGTGGCCCACTCGTCGGTCAGGAATTCGACAATGTCTGGGATGTCGCCAGACTGCCAGCGAACGAACAAGTGATTGAGGAACGTCTCGCTGAGGCCGACCAGGCTCCATAGCGACTCCACCTGGAGCTCCTCGTAGCCGAGATATGCAATGGAGTCCACCCTGCCAAAGCTGTCGATGGTGAGCTGGCAGTAGTGCCCCGACCAGTTGTTCGTGTCGAGGGTGTCGGTGACTATGGTCTGATCGGGTCTCGGCTCGACCTGCGCGGCCTCGAGCTCGCCGCGCCTGTGAGGGGCAACGACAGGGGAGCACTGGCACAGGTGGGGGAACATCGACCTGGAATTTGCGATACATCGTCGATCGATCGGCAAATCCGCACGCTCCTGGGCAGGTTGGGGCTATCAGGCCCCCATCGGCGATCGATGGGCGATTGGGGGTAGTGCATGCCACCTTTGCCTACCCCCCCCCTTTCGTTGCCTCTTGCTTTTCGGGCCAAAGCTCGGCTCTGCGGCGGCTGTCCGGGCCGATTCTGGTACCCCTAGAACGCCCTCGACGAGGCGCAGCTGCTGGAGCGCACCCCGAGCCTGGGAAACCGCCGAGCACCAGGGAAACACCCAGCTACAAAATCAGGCCGCAACCCGTGGGGAGAGACTGCCATGTGCGGCAAGACTCGCAGTCGGGTTCGAGCGGCACGTACTACCACGAAGGCCAGGGAGAGAAAGAAAATGAGAGAAGGACGAGGACAAGGAACCGGAGGAGGGGTCACTCACCCTCCCTATGCCTAATTACCCCCTGCCGTTGCCCCCCCGCGCCTGCAGGAGCGAATGCGGTAAAAGTGCAGGCCGCCGGGAAGGAATCCGCCCTTGGCGTTATGTTGTTCCCATCGTACTTAAGGACCACATCCCAGGAATAATTTCGAGCACCCAGAAAGGTATCGAAACAGTGTCGAACGAGCGTCGCCTCCCAGGGCCCGACAAGTTAAAACCCTCAAGTTTCGGTGTTTTCTTGGACCTTGGAATTCTTTCTGGTGGCCAAGGCTATTGGAACATCATAACCTTCGGTCGGGCCTGTCCCCCTACAGGGGGATCTCGGACGAAACTTAGACAGACCCAACAAATACCCCCGAGTAGCCTAAACAAGATTCACGACATCGCCCCCCAGACTATTGGTTGGAGTATCGTTGGATCTTCCTCCTATGGAGGGACAGGCCCGACTTCATCACAACCTTGGCGATGGGCATGAAGAACTCCGGCAGCAGGTCGGGCGACGCCGCCTCTGAGCATCGCTTACCCGACCCCCATCCCCAGCGGCGTGGCCTGGGCCCCCCTGGCCGATTTACACCCTGCGAAATGCTTAAGAAATCATGGGTTAAGAAATTCATAGTCTCAAAACTTGAACAAACAAACCAAACATTTCTATTAAAAGCTTAGGATTTACATTGAAACATTAAGAATCATCGAGACTCTGGCCGAAGATGTAAGTTTTCTTAAGCATCGCCTAAGGTGTACCCCCCTAGCTGGGGATATCGGCCGTTCCCTTCGGGCTCCGAGGGGTGCATCCCCAGCTGGGGTGCTGACGTGGTGGGGGCCTCGAAGGGCGTGGACATGGGGATGGGGATGAGAGATCGACGATGCCGGGCCTCGCTGTCGAGGCCCTCGAACAGGGCCAGCTCCTGGCCCTCGCCCGCCTCGGAGGGGAGGCGAGGCACGCGGCGTGCGCAGCAGACGCTCCCGGAGCTCCGCGCGGACCTCCCTTTTTTGGGCGGCGGCGCGCGCCGGCTAGCAGGGGGGGGGGGGGCAGGGCTTCACGGAAGGATCGGGTTTTAGTAAACGTGGTAACGACCTAAGGAAGGATCGGGCTTCACGGAAGGATCGGGCTTCACGGAAGGATCGGGTTTTAGTAAACGTGGTAACGACCTAAGGAAGGATCGGGCTTCACGGAAGGATCGGGCTTCACGGAAGGATCGGGTTTTAGATCACGGATGGACAGACCCCCCTTTAGTAAAACGTGGTGTAGTGAAAACGGCCTGAGGCCCAAACCTGGCGGGCGCAGGCCTGGAAAATAACGGCCACGGCGCCCTCTCGAGAACCGACAACGGACAATTCACTAATCGACGTGTCACTGTTGGGGGTTCTGTCCACCCCCGAAAGGAGGCTGCCTCCAAGAAGCCTTCCCCCCCCACGCCCCCCCTGCGCGGAGCCGATCTCAGGTCGGGCGCCGGATGCCCCCGCCCTGGCGCGCGGAGCGCGCCGGGGGCGGCGCTGGAAGCGCCGCCCGCGGGGCCCCGGGCAAGTCCCAGGGGATCCGCGCAGAGCTCGGGAAGTCCGTGCCTGCGTAATTCGTTGATGGCTCTTCGATGCCTGGGATGGCTGCGTGCCTGGCGTCACGCCCGCCAGGGCGGCCTCGTCGGGGGCGGCACTTGCTGTCCGATGAGAACTCGAACTCTCCCGCGGCCGTTCGGGAGGAGCGGGGCACCCCAGGAACGCTGCTGGAGAACGTCCCGAGGCTGGGAAACCGCCGAGAATCGAGGAAGAGGCCAGAACAACTTATCCCCCCCCCTGTGCCCATCTCCCCCCCTTCCTTGTCGTCGCCCCTGAAAGATGCCACCACACTGCGGAGGGCCGACGAAAGCGTCAGAAGACCTCGGACTGAAAACCCCAAACTCGGGTGGCAGGGTCGGGGGTGGCCGTATCGACATGGCGCAGCTGCTGGAGAGCATCGAGGCTGAGAAACCGCCGGGAACCGACGAAAGCGTCCGGAAGCCTCGGGCCGAAAACCCCAAGCTGGAGAGCATCCCGAGGCTGGAACACCGCCGAGAGCCGACGAAGAAGTCAGACCACCTCGGACCGAAAACCCGAAACTCGGGGGACGGGGCCGGGGGTAGCCTGGTCTGGGGCGTGTGCGGCGCCGCCCGGGGCTGGCGGGTCGCCGTTCACCGGGTCCAGGACGCGCAGCAGCGCCCTCGCCAGCTTGGCGCCCACCTCGCGCCCGTTGAAGCCGTCGTGGCGCAGGTAGCGCATGGCGTTCTTGCGCTGGAAGCGGCGGCTGAACTCGCAGAGGCTGCCGGCTCCGAAGATCGCCTCGCCGGGCCAGCCAGCATCGAAGCGGGAAACCGGGTCGAACCGACATGTGCCTCGGACCGGGCCGCATCGGCACGGAGTCGAAAAGGAACTGGAGCGACCGCGTCAGGTTGCACGACGACGCCATGCAAACATCGGACAACATCGGACCGGCGGAGCATCGAAATCGAATCGGATCTGGCCAGCCAGAATCGATGTCAAATCAGATCGATCGGATCGAGATGGACCCTGCCTCGTCCGTGGTCTTAAAGTTATGGTCCACGATGAGGCGCCCGTCGTATACCTGGCGAGGGCGGAAAGATACCCCAAGGGACCCCCAAGACTGCCACGCAGGAGCCCAAGGCAGCCCCGAGACGGCCCTACGAAGCCTCGTGAGAGCTCCTAGAATTAGGTCGTGCATGTCCTCCTGCAGGCGGACGTTGGAGGAAAACATGATGCAACAAAGATACAAAAAGAACCCAGAAATAGAACAGTCGTCCCTAGACTATTGTTGGACTTTTTTTGACTATTCCCCCTGTAGAGGGACAGGCCCGACTTCATCGTAGCAAAGTGGAGACGAGAGGTGTCACGTGCTGTGGCTCCTCTGGGCGGTGCGCGGAGAGTCGCCACACGGAGTGCTTCTCGCTGGCGCGCGGGCAGCTCTGCCGCAGGCAGCCGGCTGCCGATCCCACTGCTCCCCAGACCTCCTGGGGTGTGATATAGCTACTCCACATCCCTTACTAATCGACCCCCCCCCCCCTAAAAAACCGGACCCCCCTCATGCGACCTAACATTCCGGACCCCCCTCTTCGACGGGGCGCCTCCATAAACCGGACCCCCTAAGCTCCAATCCAAAGAAAGCGCCCTGATACACCGGACCTCCCCAATTACAAAAAAAAGGGCCTTAAAAAACCGGACCCGGGGACGAGTAAGAAGGGATTTGGAGTAGGACCTCGCGGCGAATCCATGGTGGGCTTGCTTTCCACCGCCACCACCATAAGCAGGAGCGGGAGGGGTGCTCCTCCTCCTCCTCCTCCTCCTCCTTCTCCTCTTTCTCCTCCTCTTTCTCCTCCTCCTCCGCCTCCCCCCTCCTCCTCCTCCGCCTCCCCCCATCCAACGTATGGTGGTGCGTGCCGACGAGGGTACCCCAGGAGGCTCCCCCCAAACGAAGACGAGGAAAGGGCAGCGGTACTGGCACGCCTCTTCCCCCCGCCAGGCACCAGGCCGTTGCCGTGCACCGAGTTGAAGATGTCGGGGTCGACATTCACGGAGTCCGCGGAGATCACGATGCGGCAGGCCAGGGTCTTCAGCGGCAGCCCCCCCGGGCTGACGCCCGCCTCGGGGACGCACCGACCCTGGTCGATGCAAACCCGGGTCTCTGGAGCTTTGCGGCATCCTGCAAGGTCCTGCCGGGTCAATGCAGCCCTGGCTGCGCAGGATCCTGCAAGATGCGGCGCCCTGGCTTACCCCCGCTTGCTTCGACCCCCGTCTCAAGGCTCCCGACCCAGACCCTCGATGTCAAGATTTGCTCATAAAGTCGACATCCACAAGTCTCTTTCCATTCCCTGGGGCCGGTTTTCCACCCCGAGTCGTTTTTTGATGGCCCCGGAGGCTGGTAAGGGCCCCAGAGCCAAAAAGCGGGGGAAAGAAACGCCGTGATGTTTCCATGTTTTTATAGTGACCCCCGTCTCTTTGGACGCCCGAAGTGGGTACGAAAAGAATGGGTACGATGCCCAAAAGCAAATGTTGACCCAAACCGGCAGCGGCCGCCGTGGGGCAAGCGGCGTGTTGTCTCCAGTGGACACCGCCCGCGGCGGCGAGGACAGCGAGTCCTGTTCAAAAGGAACAGGGACTGCTGCTGGGTATCGTACCCATCCTTCCCGTGCAGTCGAAACAAGGTCACGAGAACGTGGGCCAAGAACATGGGCCCCTTCGCCGAGAGCCCAAGGCCCCATGGAGATAGCCCAAACGAAGAGCCCCCCATGATGGAGAGACCGGCGGCAAAGAACATACAAAGGCACCCCATCCACAACTGCGAGTGCTCTGAACCCTCGTGGCAGCTGCACACATTGTGCTCGTGCCGAGTCGGTCTCGGGTCGTAACTCGAGCCTCCGGCGGCCGTTCGGGACGATTCTGGCACCCCTGGAACGCTCTCGGCGGGACGCATCTGATGGAACGCACCCCGAGGCTGGAAACAACCGCCGAGAACCGACGAGGAACCCGAAAACCTCGAGCCACCAATTCCAGCCGTAGCGACGAGGGCATCGTACCCATCCATTCCGTACCCGTTGCGTTCGTGCCGAGTCTCAAGGCTTCGAGTAGGAGATCAACTACGGAATCGATGTACCCCGAACTTGGCTTTCCCCATCGCATCTACGACGAATATGTAGACTGACACCTGCTGAGAATTCTAAATGTTTGCCGTCGATTCGGCGAGAAAGTCAATTCTAGGTAAATCAACTCTTTAGTCGATCCCTTGAGCAGGGACCGACCGTCCCGGCATTCCTATAGGCCTACCACGACATTTCCTTAGAACCCAGAAATGCTCTAAGAGCAAAAACCATGTTCTCAGAACATAGGCCCGATGCACCAGAACAAGACGGTCCCAGCCAGAACTGTCCTGAGAACATCAGGTGCAGACCACAACGAGGTTTATGTTGCTCCCATCGTACTTAAGGACCACATCCCAATAATAATTTCGAGCACCCGGAAAAGTGTCGAAAGAGTGTCGAAACAGTGTCGCAACGGTGTCGGACGAGTGTCTCCCAGGGCCCGACACGCGAAAACCCTCGAGCTTCGGTACTTCTTGGGTGCTCGACAGTCTTTCTGGTGGTCAAGGCTAGAGTAGGTTGGAACATCATTTCACGAGTTCTCAGAACAGTGTTCGGTGGCTCTGGGCGAGCCAGGACGCTTCGCCGCCGCTCGAACCCCCTGCTCGAAGGCTTCCGCCCGCCTCCGCGGGCCGAGGAGGAGGAGGAGGAGGAGGAGGAGGAGGAGGAGGAGGAGGAGGAGGAGGGAGGAGGAGGAGGAGGAGGAGGAGGAGGAGGAGGAGGAGGAGGAGGAGGAGGAGGAGGAGGAGGAGGAGGAGGAGAGAGGAGAGAGGAGGAGGAGGAGGAGGAGGAGGAGGAGGAGGAGAGGAGGAGGAGGAGGAGGAGGAGGAGGAGGAGGAGGAGGAGGAGGAGAAAGAGGAGGAGGAAGAGGGAGGAGGAGGAGGGGAGGGGGAGAAGGAGGAGGAGGAGGAGGAGGAGAGAGGAGAGAGGAGGAGGAGGAAGAGGAGGAGGAGGAGGAGGAGGGGGAGAAGGAGGAGGAGGAGGAGAGAGAGGAGAGAGGAGGAGGAGGAGGAGGAGGAGGAGGAGGAGGAGGGGTCGCCCAAGCCCTTCGGAGAAATCCGCCACTCGCAGGCTCCCGCCCGCCTCCGCCATCACGCCGCCCGGGACGCGGGCGTTTCTCGCCCCCTCGCCCTCGGCGGGGGCCTCCGCCTCGTCCGCCCGCGGGCCCGCCGTCTCCTCCAGGACGAGGGCCTTCAGCCGCTTGCGGTTGTCCTTCGGGCGAGGGGATCTCCGAGCAGGGCGTCGACTACAAAATTTGATCGCACCCCGACATTGATCTTGCCGCCGAAGCCACGCAGAGTGCATCGAATGCTCGATAGATGTACAAAGCATTCCAAGCATTTCCCGTAGATTCGACGGTACAACAAACGGTGGGGCAAATCAAATCTTTAGTCGATCCCCGACTCGAGATCTATACAGATCCGCCGCCGCTGGCCAGGCCCATCCTTGGCCCAGGAGCGGTGTACAGGCATCGTGCTAATAACACACAGGATGCGCATAATAAGAAGCGAGAGAACTCTTCTGGCCACGGCGGGCCTAGGCCACAAACAAGCTCCACCACATGAATCTAAGGAGCGGCCCGAAATACCGATCCCCTCCTGAGCCGGAAGCGACCCTTCTTTCAGCGTCCTGGCCGTATATGCCCTCTGGCTTGGCCAGGGAGGCATATACACCGCTCCTGGGCCCAGGAAGGGCCTGACCAGCTGCGGCAGATACGCACAGATCTCGTCGCCCTATGTCCTGCTGGATGTCGAGAAGCCTGTAGTCCTCGTAGACCTGGACGCCCATAATTTTTCGATGGTGACATCGGACCGACTGCAACGAAGGCCAACAATCGTTGCCCGTCCACTCACCTGCCGTCCGAGAGCTGCGCGCGGAGACCCGGAGCACGGAGTGGGGCGATGCGAACTAGCCCTAAAAAGTATCAGATCGAAGGAGAGGAGAGGACGAGAGGAGGAAGGGGGAGAGAGGAGGAAAGAGGAGGTGGGAGGAGGAGGAGGAGGAGGAGGTGGAGGAGGAGGTGAAGGAGGAGGAGGAGGAGGGAAGTGGAGAGAGGAGGAGGAGGAGGAGGAGGAGGAGGAGGGAGGAGGAGGAGGAGGAGGAGGAGGAGGAGGAGGGAGGGAGGAGGAGGAGGAGGAGGAGAGAGAGGAGGAGGAGGAAGAGGAGGAGGAGGAGGAGGAGGAGAGGAGGAGGAGAGGAAGAGAGAAGGATAGAGGAGAAGGAGAAGGAGGAGGAGGAGGAGGAACCGAGAAAGGCCCATCTGGTCCCATCGACCTGGACGCCCATGTTGGTGAGCAGGCCGTGTATCTTCCGCTCCACCTCGTCGCCCTCGTCGAATGCGTCTACGGGGCGCTGGTGCGAGGAGTCCCTCAGGCGGGGAGGAAGCACCAGGATGACCTTTGTGGGCGGCACCTTGCGCATGAGAAGGCCCTGGATCACACAGTAGGCGTCCAAAGAGCGGCCGTACACCACCGCGTAGGACAGCGGATTCCAGATGAGCGACTTGATGAGCGTGCCGCCCTCCTCCAGAAGGCCGCGGATGGACGGGTCCGCCACAGACATGCAGCCGTTGACCCGCCGGTAGCCGTCGGTGACGTGCTCCACACCCCAGGAGCGGATCTTCATGGAGTGCAGCGCGTCATCCTGGAGACCCGCGGCGACCACGAGGTAGTCGTACGGCAGCATGGAGCCTAAAACGAAGTCAGGAAGAGGAATACGTCGGGAGAGGATAAATCGAGGATCTCTGAGATCTGGCGGCTCTGGAGGATGCCTCGGGCGCTGCGGCCTTCTCAGAGCGCTCTGGAGCGCTCTGAAAGCGTTCCGGAACGCTCTGGAACGGACTTATCCTCGTCCCAGCCCCGTCCGAGAGCCGTCGTGCAGGACGCAGCAGCGCTGCTGGCGGTCGATCTGCAGCATGCGGCTGTCCAGGATGCGGACGCGCAGCTCCAGCATGACGCGGCGGAGCTCGTGGTGCGAGTAGGCCGCCGTGCCGGCCAGCAGCGGGAGGTGGTGCTCGTGGTGGTACTCGAGGCCCCCGGGGGCCAGGAGCGTGAGGGAGTTGAACATGAGGTGCATCTGCCCCAGAAGGCTCTCCTGAAGGAAGCAGCACAGCACTCAGTCAACCCGCATAGTGAAAACGCACGATAAGGACGCAAGGGCCTTGGAAGGCCATGTCGACACTTTACGAGCGGGGCGCGGCCAGCGAAAGCGGCCAAGATGGGCCTGAGGGGATGGATGCATGGGTAACCTTGGAAAGTTGCTCATCCTTACTATGCGGGTTAACTGTAACCAAACACTACTGGAGGTCCGCGCAGATTTCTTGGATCTGTGCTGAGGCCCCGCCTCCCTGGCGCGCGGAGCGCGCCGGGAGCGGAGCCAGAAGCGCCGCCAGGGGGTTCGAGCCTCAGCGCAGACCCAAAAACTCCGCGCGGAGCTCTGAATGTTTATGTTTACGCTGTGCTTCATTCTCTGATCTCCAACACGGACAGCCCGCAGTCGCTGGCGCCGACCACCACGATGCGGGCGTTCATGGGGATCTTCGTCTCGCTGAGCAGGTTCTTCGGCACGATCGAGAGGGCGTTCGTCTGCGTCTTGTCCCGCAGCAGCGCCTGCCGCTCCTTCTCGCGGATGTCGTCCTCCGTCGGAATCTCCGGCGGGACGTTCGCAAAGGAGGCGACCACCGGAGGCTTGTTCGGTACCTTCTTCAGCTGCGGAGGGCGCCGCGGCGCCACCTGCAGCAGCTCCCGGAAGGTGGGCGGCACCGGCTCCTGCAGATCCGTCTCCATGAAGAGCACGGTGCGGCCGCTGAGCCGGAGCGCCCCCTGGTGATGGGCCGAGTCTCCACCACCACTACCACAGGCAGGAGAGGGGGGGAGGAGGAGGCACGGGGCACGAGGCTGATGGCCGCCGTCCGTGTCGGACAGCGGGCGGCGAGGAGGAGGAGGAGGAGGAGGAGGAGGAGGAGGAGGAGGAGGAAAAGGAGGAGGAGGAGGAGGAGGAGGAGGAGGAGGAG